AAGCTTTAGTGAAAAGTTTTAAATTTTTATACCAATATAAAGTTTAATTGTAATGAAAATGCCTACAAATGTTAACTACCTTATAATCTATTAATTTAACCAAAAATATAAAAAATAAGTAGCTATTTTACAAGTTAAAAATTCATTCCATAAGAGCACATAACTTACAAATTGCGATAAATTGTCTAGAAATAAATGCAAAAGAACAAAAATCGTGTTTTTGGAATGTAAGAGATCCTTTTTTTATGAAATTTTCTCCACATCCAAAAGCCCAGCGGTATGCTACTATTTTTTATTGAATTTCATTGTTCCTAAGACAACTTAGCAATCCATTTCTTTAGTAAAAGGCTGGGGGTATGGTTTGCTGGAGAAAATATCGTCAATTGTATCACGGGACAACGTTTTTTCAACGAAAGGGGGACTAACTCTCAACATAAAACGCTAATTTAAGGTGAAAAGGATTTTTTTACTGTCTCTCTTACTTAAGGGATAAGTACCGGAGAAAATTGTGGTAAATTTCGACTACCATGAGCTGGTCACGAGCAACAGCATCATGCCAAATGATTCTGAATACAGTTAGAACTGAATTTCGATGGAATGGATCACTAAAACGTCTTTTGCTTAATCTAATAACGTAAAGCCACAGAGAAGGACAAACTATAATCATCTATCTTGCGATACATAAAAACCTAACGATGATTATCTTCAATTTAAAGTTATATTCCTGTACTGCTATTATTACGCTTTTAGTTCAAGAGTTTAAAAGTTAGAGAATTGTTCATTATTATTATGATGTAATTCTGTGCTACATTTTAAGATAAAGTTATTTAGAAAAGTGGGCTAATCTTGTTAACCATCTTACAATTATTATTTCTGTTCAAATAACTTTAATATACTGTTATAAATTACAGTTAAAGATGCCTGTTGAATGATTAACAGCAATGGATCAGAGGATAGGGAGTTCGTCTTCCAATGAGGTGAACCGAGGTCGAATCCCATCTATGGCTGGTCGATATAAATTGCACTGTCCACATTGCTGACGTGAAATATCTACAGTGGTAGACGGATCATGGGTTAGAGTCCCTTTGCCGTCGGGCTAAACCGTGGGAGGTTCTCGTGGCCTTCCTCCCCACGTAACGCAAATGCGGGTTAGTTCCATCAAAAAGTCCTCCACCAAGGCAATTTTCTCTCAATACTTGATCCAGGAGTTTCCTTGTCTTCTGGATCGGGTTCAAAATTACAAGGCTACGGAGTTTAACACTAGAAGTCGTGAACCCGAATATTAAATCGGCTGTTCAACGACGGTTATAAAATGATTTAGAACTTAACGATCAGCTTCATGCACAATGAGATGCTAGCAAAAATAATTTTTAATATATCCTCCCGTTTGGTAAGCAAAAATATTAAATTATTGTTGTGAACTCATAAAATTTGTTTGAATAATATAATGTTATAACAATATAACTGTTATTTTTAAAAAAAAATGATTACTAAGAAAAATAACTTCTGTTTACCAATAGATCTAAATGTTATGATTTTTATAACATTTAGAAGAAGAATCGAAGTTATGATTTTTGAAACCAGTAATTAAATTTATAACCAGTTAATATTCCATTATTTATTTAATATTTCCGTTGTTTTTTAATCAAAGTATTTAATTGAAATGTTTGTAAAGAAATAAATTTCAAAACAATGTTTTTATAATGAGGGCAATTGCATATGTGACAAAATGACATTTTGACTTGCAAAATAACAATTAATTGAAGTTTCTATGTATCTAATTTCAAACAAAAATTTTTTTTTCTCATGCATATCATTATTATTGGCATAATGCGCTTCATAAACTAAAAAAAACAGGATTTTCTATCTTTTTTACTTTTAATTTTACGAACTTTTTATTTGCGTGACGGAATGACATTTTAGCAACCAAGCTTTTGGCATGCCGCTTAGAACTGGTAGTTTCAGCGAATTTTGCAGCTATTATTTTTCTGAACTATTTTATACTTTTAGTATATTGTGTAAGCAATGTAAAATGTGAATTTGGAAAATTAACTTCAGGTTGGCTAGCAGTTATTAACATCTATTTGCTGTGACGGAATGACCGTGACGGAATGACAAAAAGTTTAGTAGAAGAAAGCCTTCATTTAAAAAATGTTTTATTAATATGTAAATGATAAACAGAATGTAACAGATAAACAGGATTAATATTTA